GGTACACGTCTGACCATGTCGTCAGGTAGACACCCTGAAACGAATGGGCAGAGTGAACAAATGAACCGTTTGTGCCAACAGCTTCTGCGCATGTATGTAAGACCGGATCAAATAGATTGGGATGAGAACTTACCTAAGATAGCAAGTGCATATAATAGTAGTGTTCATAGCTCTACAGGACGAACAACCTAACACACTGCATAAAGGTTGGAAACCTAAGCGTCCCATTGATGTATTGACGAGGGACCAGTTTCTTAGGTTACCTCCAGGGACCCGCGACTACGCAGTATTGTTTCAAAAAGACATTAAAAAGGTAAAGGAGAACTTGAAGAAAGCTCAGGACCGAATGATCGAACAAGCTAATAAGCCTCGACGACCATCAACGTTCAGAGAAGGTGATTTGGTCTGTGTCAAGTCTAAAGAGTTTTCACTAGAAGAAAATGTCTCTCAGATTTTGGACCCTGGGAAGTTCTTAAAGTGATTGGAGATGCAAAGGGACCGTCTTACAGAATTGATATACCCCCTCATCTCAGGACCTATTATGTCTTTCATGCGTCTAAGTTGCTACCTTATGTAGAACGAGATGAATTCCCTCATAGACCATCTATGATACCGCCAGATATGGATGGCGGATATGAAGTGGACCGAATTATAGAACAAGAATTCTTCTCTACAGGTGCACGAGGACGACCCCAAAAGCAATTCAAGGTTCGTTTTAAAAGTTAGAAACCATCTGAGGACAGATGGTTTAGTAAAAAAGAACTCCTTGAATCTGCTCCTGATATCGTCTCTGCTTATGAACGTGGGTTGAAGTCTTAAATGTTTCTGCGATGGAATTCGAAATATGGGTCAGCAGGAATGCAGTAACCCTGTTCAGCAGCAAACCGGGGCTCAGAACGTTGCCCCCGGTAAAGCACAGACTGTGCTGGGCTATGTGACCGAGACATGCCCAGCCTGAGTCTGTCGAGGAGGTTGTGTGACCGAACACATCACAAAGGAAATTCAACGGTCAAAGTCAACTGTAGAGTCAAAGGTACCGTGCCCAGGCCTACGGTCGGATACATTCACTTGTTGTGTGCAGGTACCCAGACAGCATTCAGGGCGGGAGGAATACAGTTTCTGGCCAATCTGGGCCCTCCTTCACATCGAGATCTGGACGGTGCAGGACCTCAGTACCCGGGGTCCAAACCCCGCATCCACGCTATTTAAGAGTTGACTTCCTGGCTGGAGGACATTCAGTCTTGCGTGAATGTTGACTTCACGCGTAGACTTTGACGCTGTTGCTATGCTGCGACATTGCGACATTGGCTTGACGCCGGCCCTATGCTGGCAAAGGAGGACGGCAAGGCGCTGCTGGCTGGCATGGTGCTGGCTGGCGATGGTCTTCAGGGCATGCTGGCGTGGCAGCTGCCACGCGCCGATGTTGACGTGGCCGCTGCCACCTGTATATGATTGATGACGTGGCGGGCTGCGAGGTTGATGAGGCTGTTCTGATTCTTCGTCACTTCGGAAGGGGATCAAGACTGTGGTTATCAAGGATACGTACCTGGTTGATGACGATACTCTCCATTTGCTGATGTAGACAGATTAATGTGCCACGTGGCACCTTGAGGAAGAACTTCAGACATTGTCTTCAGTCTATTGATTAATGAGGTGGCGAGGAAGAGGAGGAACCCGAAGTAGAAGTGGGTTGTTGTCTTCTTCTCTCTCCTTTGTCTATTCTCCCTCTCTCCTCCTTCGTCTGTGTATGATTGTCACCTCATTCTATCATCACACACATTTGCGATTGTTTGTCATTCATCAGCAGATCGATAATCATATGGATTGGTAATGTTGACGAGTATCATCACGTCTGGGCTCATTGCACATGCCTCTAAGTTGCTACCGTATGTGGAAGGAGATGAGTTTCCTAACCGGCCTTCTATGATTCCACCTTCGATGAACGGAAGTTATGAAGTAGATCAGACTGTATACCATGGGTTCTTCTCCACTGGAAGGCGTGGACGACCACAGAAGCAGTTCAAGGTAAGATTTAAGACTAAAAAACCATCCGAGGATCGGTGGTTCAGCAAACAACAGCTCCTTGAAACTGCTCATGACATTGTCTCGGCATATGAGCGTGGGTTGAAAGGTTAATTATTTCTGCGATGGAACTCGAAATTGGGTCGGCAGGGATGCAGTAACCCGCACTCTGCAGAGGCCGGGCTGTGTGACCACGCACTGCCCGGCCCAGCCCAGCGTCTGGCCAGTGAGACCCAGCGCTGGACTGGGGAAATCCAAAGGTCAAAGTCAATTGTCGGGTCGCAGGTACCGTACCCAAGTCCACGAACAGATACACACATGTGTTGTATGCAGGTACCGGGCCAAGACATCGGACCAAGGGAGAAACAGTTGCAGACCGATCCAGGCCGTCGCCGCATCAAGATCTTGACGGCACAGGACCACTGCAGCGGGGCATTGACCCCGAGTCAACGCTACTTAAAGTTGACTCCTGGCTTTGACATCATTCATTCTGTCGCGAGTCAAGGCTGACTCTACTTTGACGCGACGCTGGCTTGTGAGGTGCTGGCTAATTGCTAGCTGGAAGTTGGCGTTTCTCAGCGGCGACACGCTGCTTGCTTGCTGGCATGGGGGCTGGCTTGCTCTTGTCTACAAGGTGCTGACGTGGCAGCGCCACGTGTCGTTGCTGACGTGGCTGCTGCCACGTAGGGTGTTGGTGACGTGGCTGTACCACGTGTTCGTTCGTTGTTCAGGCTATCGATGTCCGGAAGGAGGTCAGGGACTGTGGGGATGAGATGACAAGTACCTGTGTGAGGCGACATTGCTGCTCCGTTGATGAAGAGAATGCTGATGTGCCACGTGGCACTTTGAGGAACTCAGATTTGTATCTGGATTGACGTTGCTGGAGAGGGGGCGACTCTGATTGGCCCGAAGGAGAAGTGGGCAACTTCTCTTCTAAGTCTTTTCTCCCCCTCTCTCTCTCTCGTCTATGTATGTATATACTCGGATAGTGGAACAAATCTGTTCGACATTATTCATCAACAAGACTGGATTACTCTAGTTGCTTTGTCATTGAGCCATTGGACTATTGCTGCACGAGCGCTGATGCTCGTGCGTTGCTGCGAACAATATCTGGATGTTCAATGAGTGTTATCTCGCTTGGGTTCATTGCAGTTTGGTATCGGAGCAGTACTTCCGAAAATCTCCGAAAATCGCGCGGGCACGTGCGCGCGCTGAAGTAGAATATCACGTCGACGTTGGTGATTGCGTCGGCCGGATCTTGATGACGACTTGGTAGAAGGTCACGAACACGATCGCAATCACGAACGTGATCACGGAAGACACGATCACGACCTTGACGAAGATCATCACGACGATGATCCGAATGTGATCACGACCTTGACGAAGATCATCACGACGACGATCCGAATGTGATCACGACCTTGGCGAAGATCATCACGACGACGATCCGAATGTGATCACGACCTTGACGAAGATCATCACGACGACGAAGAGCATATGACGACGAAGTTTCATCGGGCCGCGCTTGAGTTGATTGTCGCGCGTGCTCGATCAAGACCCGGATGCGCGCTGATGACGTGGCGGAAAAAAAAAAATAGTGGGGGAGAGAGAATGCTGAAACGCGATTTCAACGCGTTCGTCTAGAGAAGAAGCACTCTCCTCCCTTGAAGACTGCGCGCGCCGGTGAGGAGAAGATGATGATGATGATGCTTTGAAGACAAAGAAGATCTTAATGACGTAGCAGAGTTGTATCACATTGGCGAGACCTTGAGAAGGGACCTTGATTGCTGACGTGGAAGGGGGGATCCTGCTGACGCGGCTTGATTGAAGTCGTATCTGGGGGCCAGATTGGCTGACGTGGCACCCCCCTCTTAATTGATTGATCACTTGATGCTGACGTGGCAAGTGTTGTGTGCTTGCTGAGTTGGCATTACCGGGGTGTTACGTGATTTGCACGTGTGTGCCTGGGTGGGAGGATCATTCTGACGACAGAGGCGGTACAACTAATTGAATAGCTGTAGTGCCAGCTGTCGCAACAGGGTGATTGTTGCTTTGATCAGGACTGACGCAGGGGATTATTGATGCTGACATATTGATTGCTGTTGATGTTGGCTTGTCTTCCCTGTGTTGGTTGTTTGTCCTGTGCTGGCATACTCACCTGTGTGTATCTGGTCACTGTGTCCGGATCGGTACCTGCAAAAGCACGTCATCACATTGTGTTAGATAAACAAGAACAGCGAAGAAAAAGACAAAGAAAAATAATTGAAAATATAATCCACAGTTATTTTGTTGTCATTACTCTTGCTGTAATCTGCTGTGTGGAATTTGTGAAGCCGCGGAATTAACTATTGTTTATTTTCTGTTTACTGTGCGGTAGATTCTCCACACCGAAATGTCTCAGGAAGAGACTGTTCAGACCCCAGTTGAGGGCCAGAGTGTTGAGCAGCTCCCTGACCCTCATACCAGGGCTCAGGTTGAGCAGAGACGACAACTGTTGTCTGGACGGCTCAACCTTCTGGCCACTGAACTGCACGACGCCGGTGCAGAGGCTGAGTCACATGTGAGGGCCCAGTTTGATCTGCGGAAAGCCCAGGCAGACCTGGATGCAGCTCAGACTGGCACCGACCTATTGAAGATACAGGAGTTCATTATCCAGTGCCGTAAAGCACTGGATGTGCACATCTGTCATGCCAAACTGATGTGGTGGTCACGGAACAGACAATTGATGAGAACATCCGCCAATTGGAAGAAGCTCTTGAAAAAGAGAAAACGTGCAAGGTAGAAATGCTAAAGAAGAAAGAACAAGATGAACAGCAAGCAAAACGAGAACAAGAAGTCAGACAGCATGTGGTAACTGTGTCAGGGGAAGAACAGGTTGTGGCACTGAACCAACTGGTTGAGTACCTCGCTCACTTGGAGACAAGGCTCGACCATTTTGAAGCAAAGTTGGAAGAATTGACCGTAGGATTGAAGAATGTGACTAACTTGGTCAAAGGAAAGGAAAAAGAGGTTCGGAAGGAACAACTTGTGAAGAAACTAATGGGTGATGCTATGAAAGATCTCAGGGTCGAAGTAAAGAAGGGGGAACCATCTGGGCCTCCTCCACCGACGCCACCACCATCCAGTCCTCACCCATCAGGAGGAAAGAAAGATAAAGAAGAGAAAACTGAGAAGCCAAAGAAGAAGGAAAAGGTAAAGATGAAATTGCCTTTCACGTTCAGTAATAAGAAGGATGAAAACTTATTACTGTGGATTGCAGAAATACAGACCTACGTCGGGACGACCCCTGTGGAAGAAGAATCACAGGTCGCCTTCTCCACATCGTGTCTCGGAGGGGAGGCCAAAGAGTGGGTCCTGGCCGAAGCTAACGCAGCCGGATTCGATGATATTGGTAAGTGGGCCGGTACGATGACCCTGAAACAGTTCCTGGACAAGATCCGGGAACGTTTCCTTGACAAGACAACGGCCGATAAGGCCTTCGATCAGCTCACTACCATAGGTCAAAAACATTGGACGTCTGTGGAGGCGTTGTCCCGTGAGGTCGATCGATTGCTGCAACTACCGGGCTTAAATCTGCAGGATGATCAGGTCCTGTATATTTACGCCCGGGCCCTACCTGAATCTATACGAGGTCAGTTAGTGGCCGAGTCAAAGTCAGGTAAGTACAAGTATCGGCAGTTTCGTGATATGGCTCTCCAGAGAGAACAAATGACCTCTCAGGTTAAGCAATCGTATGCATCTGTGGTGAAATCTGGTGGTAATGCAGGTGCAGGTGCAAGATACGGTAAGCGAGTCCTTTGGCGCCAAAAGCGTTAGGACCACATGCTTGTCGTCTTTGACGACGAAACAGTGGAGAAGCTACCGTTAGAAGAAGGAGTTCCTAGCAGCAGTGAGTCCGGAAAGGGGGATGTCACTGCTGCCGTGGTCAACAAAGGAGGACGACGAGATCGGTATCGAGGGAGGAAACTGCGCTCGTTTCCTGCGCACCCAGGCATCGCGGCATTCAAGCCGTGGGAAAAGATGGAGATTGACCAAAAGACCTGGCAGGATACAATGGACAATGCGCAGTGTTTGAAGTGTGAAAAGGAGGGACACATCATTGCATGGTGTCCACTCATCCGACACCCAAAAGCGAGCCGCCAATAGGAGTTGCATCTGCTCCTACTGAGTTGAAGAAGTCAGACGATGAGAAAGGTAAGGCGCCTACTAACCCTTTCACTTCTTCGACTCGCGTGACAGAGGATGGTTGTTCTCCGACCCATCATCCAGATCACCCTGAACCTGTCTTATGTTCTATCTCTCTGGATGGCTCCTTTGATGAGCTTGGTAATGAGTTGCTAGCACTACGAAGCTCATGGGCAAAGAAAGCAAAGTCTAAGGGTGAACTATTACTCGCGGATGTAGAGATCACACACGAACGGACGGGTGCACTTTTAGACTCGGGATCTACACGATCCTACATTTCTGAGAGAGCTATTCGCAAGCTTCATCTTGGAATGAAGGTAAAATGTTTAACACGACCTATCACGTCTATTCTTGCTGATAAAAGCACGATCACTGTCTCTCAGTATGTCAATCGTGTGAAATGTAAGTTCAGGACTAAAACTGGAAAGAAGATTGTACACGAAATCTCCTTCCTAATTGAGAAGAACTTGCCTTTTGATATGATTCTGGGAATGGATTGGCACGAGGAAGCCAACCCAGAAATCAAGTTCAAGGAAAAGGAAGTACGCCTGAAAAACGCACAATCTGAACTCGAGACCATCAAACTGTATCACAAGTCTGGATCTGACTCTACTCTGTCTTTCTGTTGTATGAGCTATCCAACTTTTCGATCGATGGTCAGGAAGAAGCAATTGGATCAGGAGGTATTGATGGTGTTGGTAAAGGAAGTTGGTGAGTCTTCGACACCTTATCCTCCATCGATACAAAAAATCTTAGATTAGTATAAAGATCTATCTCAGGAACCTACTGGGAACATTGAGCGTGCTATCAAGCACACTATCGAGATCATTCCTGGAAGTAAGACTCCCAAGGGCCCTATCTATCGAATGTCGTCTAGGGAACTTGAGGAATTGCGCAAGCAACTTCAGGAATTAACTGACAAAGGATGGATTCGTCCTAGTTCTTCACCTTATGGAGCGCCTGTATTATTTGTGCCCAAAAAGGAAGGTGAGTTGCGTTTATGCATTGACTATAGAGGGTTGAACTCCGTCACTGTGAAAAACGCTGAACCCCTACCACGAATTGACGACTTGTTGGATCAGCTGCAGGGATGCAAGTACTTCGACAAGATTGATCTGAAGTCGGGATACCACCAAATCGAGGTGGCGCCCGAAGATCAACACAAGACTGCTTTTCGAACCAGGTATGGACACTATGAGTTTGTGGTCATGCCCTTCGGATTGACGAATGCCCCTGCGACCTTCCAAAGGTCTATGAACGAATTGTTTCGACAGTGGTTGGATCAGTTTGTAATTGTGTATCTCGATGACATCCTAGTCTACAGCAAAACGCTGGAGGATCACGATAAACACTTGGGTAAGCTACGAGAAGGTAATTTTAAACTTAACCCAAAGAAGTCTTGAGTTTGCAAAACCTGAAGTGCTCTACTTAGGGCATATAGTTAACTAAGAAGGACTCGGACCGGAAGCGAAGAAAATTTCAGCGATTAGAGATTGGTCACAACCAAAGTCCATCACTGAGTTGAGGTCTTCCTTGGGTTAGCCAGTTACTATAGGAAGTTTGTTAGGAATTTCTCCTTAGTTGCTGCTCCCATGAGAAGACTCCTCAAGAAAGGAACCATATGGTTGTGGGACAAGGACTGTGAGTCATCAATGAAGAAGTTAAAATATGCACTGACTCACTACCCTGTTCTGAAAATCGTTGATCCATCTCTTCTCTTTATTGTGACCACTGACGCAAGTCAGTATGGAATTGGCGCAGTCCTACAGCAGGATGATGGTAAGGGTTACAAACCTATTGAGTTCATGTCTGCCAGACTTCCTACTCAGAAGGTCGCCGACTCCACTTACGAAAGGGAATTGTATGCGCTTATCTGTGCACTGAAATCCTGGAAACACTACTTGTTAGGGAGGCACTTCACTGTCTACTCAGATCACTCGACACTAAAGTGGATAAAGACTCAACCAAGACTCTCTGACAAACTAGTACGATGGTCTGCTTTCCTCGACACCTTTGACTTTGAGTTGAAGACAATCAAAGGTAAGTCTAACGTTGTGGCAGATGCATTGTCTATGAGAAGTGATTTCTTTGGAACCATTGTCTCCTACTTGGATATAGGAAATGATGTGCATGAAGGCTATGCTAACGATCCTATGTGGAAACCCATCATTGACCTTGTCACTAAGGATCC